GCTTATGTGAAAAAGCTTCAACCTGATAAGCTGAAACCCAAATCGGAGAAGTGTGTCTTCATAGGATGCCCAAAAGAAATTGTTGCTAAGAATGGATCCTTTCTATAGAAGGAGTTTCTCTCAAAAGAAGTGAGTGGGAGGAAAGTAGAACTTGATGAGGTAACTGTACCTGCTCCCTTATTGGAAAGTAGTTCATCAAAGAAATCAATTCCTGTGATTCCTACACCAATTAGTGAGGAAGCTAATGATGATGATCATGAAACTTCAGATCAAGTTACTACAGAACCTTGTAGGTCTTCCAGAGTACAGTCCGCACCAGAATGGTACGGTAATCCTATTCTAGAAGTCATGTTACTAGACCATGATGAACCTACGAACTATGAGGAAGCGATGATGAGCCCAGATTCCGCGAAATGGCTTGAGGTCATGAAATCTGAGATGGGATCCATGTATGAGAACAAAGTGTGGACTTTGGTGGACTTGCCCGATGATCGCCAAGCCATATTAAATAAATGGATCTTCAAGAGGAAGACGGACACTGATAGTAGTGTTACTATCTACAAAGCTCGACTTGTCGCAAAAAGGTTTTCAACAAGTTCAAGGTGTTGACTACAATGAGATTTTCTCAACTGTAGCAATGCTTAAATCCGCCCGAATCATGTTAGCAGTTGCCATATTTTATGAAATCTGGCAAATGGATGTCAAAACTGCGTTCCTTAAATGGATATTTCTTAAAGAATAGTTGTATATGATGCAACCAGAAGGTTTTGTCAATCCTAAAGATACTAACAAGGTGTGCAAGCTCCAGCGATCCATCTAGACTGATGCAAGCATGGAAGTTGGAATATATGCTTTGGTGGGTTGATCAAAGCATATAGTTTTATACGGACTTGCGGCGAAGCCTGTATTTACAAGAAAGTGAGTGGGAGCACTACAACCTTTCTGATAAGTATATGTGAATGACATATTGTTGATCGGAAATGATGTAGAATTTTCTGGAAAGCATAAAGGAGAGTTTGAAAGGAGTTTTTCAAAGAAAGACCTCGGTGAAGTTGCTTATATATTGGGCATCAAGATCTATAGGGATAGATCAAGATGCTTGATAAGATTTTTCAATGAATACATACCTTGACAAGTTTTTTGAAAGAGTTCAAAATGGATCAGTCAAAGAAGAAGTTCTTGCCTGTATTACAAGGTGTAAAGTTGAGTAAGACTCAAAGCCTGACCACGACAGAAGATAGAAAGAGAATGAAAGTCATTCCCTATGCCACAGTCATAGGTTCTATAAAGTATGATGTGATGTGTACCAGACCTATTGTGTTCCTTGCCATGAGTTTGGCAAGGGGGTACAATAGTGATCTAAGAGTAGATCACTGGACAGCGGTCAAAATTATCCTTAGTGAAGACTAAGGAAATATTTCTCGGTTATGGAGGTGATAAAGAGTTTGTCGTAAAGAGTTATGTCGATGCAAGCTTTTACACCGATCCAGATGACTCTAAGTCTCAATCTGGATACATATTGAAAGTGGGAGCAATTAGCTAGAGTAGCTTCATGCAAAGCATTGTAGACATAGAATATTTGCAAAATACATACAGCTCTGAATGTGACAGACCCGTTGACTAAACTTCTCTCACAAGCAAAACATGATCACACCTTAGTACTCTTTGGCTGTTAATCACATAGCGATGTGAACTAGATTATTGATTCTAGTGAATCCTTTGGGTGTTGGTCACATGGCGATGTGAACTATGGGTGTTAATCACCTACAGATCTGAACTATTGGTGTTAAATCACATGGCGGTGTGAACTAGATTATTGACTCTAGTGCAAGTGGGAGACTCAAGGAAATATGCCCTAGAGGCAATAATAAAGTTGTTATTTATATATTTCCTTATATCATGATAAATGATTATTATTCATGCTAGAATTGTATTAACCGAAAACTTAGTACATGTGTGAATACATAGACAAATAGAGTGTCACTAGTATGCCTCTACTTGACTAGCTCGTTAATCAAAGATGGTTAAGTTTCCTAGCCATTGACATGAGTTATCATTTGATAAACGGGATCACATCATTAGGGAATAATGTGATTGACTTGACCCATTCCGTTAGCTTAGCACTTGATCGTTTAGTATGTTGCTATTGCTTTCTTCATGACTTATACATGTTCCTATGACTATGAGATTATGCAACTCCCAAATACCGGAGGAACACTTTGTGTGCTAACAAATGTCACAACGTAATGGGGTGATTATAAAGGTGCTCTACAGGTGTCTCTGATGGTGTTTGTTGAGTTGGCATAGATTGAGATTAGAATTTTTCACTACGATTGTCGTAGAGGTATCTCTGGGCCCTCTCGGTAATACACTTCACTATAAGCCTTGCAAGCAATGTGACTAATGAGTTAGTTATGAGATGATGTATTACGGAACGAGTAAAGAGACTTGCCAGTAACGAGATTGAACTAGGTATTGAGATACCGACGATCGAATCTCGGGCAAGTAACATACCGATGACAAAGGGAACAACGTATGTTGTTATGCGGTTTGACGAATAAAGATCTTCGTAGAATATGTGGGAGCCAATATGAGCATCCAGGTTTCGCTATTGGTTATTGACTGGAGACGTGTCTCGGTCATGTCTACATAGTTCTCGAACCCGTAGGGTCTGCACGCTTAACGTTCGGTGACAATCGAAATTATAAGTTTATGTGTTTTCATGTACCGAAGGTAGTTTGGAGTCCCGGATATGATCACAGACATGATGAGGTGTCTCGAAATGGTAGAGACATAAAGATCGATATATTGGACGACTATATTTGGACATCGGAATGATTCCGGGTGAGTTCGGCCATGTACTGGAGTACCGGAGGTTACCGGAAACCCCCGGGAGGTATATGGGCCTTATTGGGCCATAGTGGGAGAGAAGAGAGGGAGGCATAGGAGGGGGCGCGCCCCCCTCAAGCCCAACCCGAATTGGGTGCCCCCCTCCTTTCCTTCCCCCTCTCTCCCCCTTCCTTCCACTCCTAGTCCAACTAGGGAAGGGGAATCCTACTCTCGATAGGAGTAGGACTCCCCATGGGGCGCGCCATAGGTGGGCCGGCCCTCTCCCTCCTCCACTCCTTTATATACGGGGGAAGGGGCACCCCATAGACACAAGTTGATCATTGATCTCTTAGCCGTGTGTGGTGCCTCCCTCCACCATAATCCACCTCGGTCATATTGTCGTAGTGCTTAGGCGAAGCCCTGCGCCGGTAGCTTCATCATCACCATCATCACGCCGTCGTGCGGACGAAACTCCCCTTCGACACTCTGCTGGACCGGAGTTCGTGAGACGTCACCGAGCTGAACGTGTGCAGATCGCGGAGGTGCCATACGTTTGGTACTAGGATCGGTCGATCGTGAAGACGTACGACTACATCAACTGCGTTGTCATAACGCTTCTGTTTTTGGTCTACGAGGGTACGTGGACAACACTCTCCCCTCTCGTTGCTATGCATCACCATGATCTTGCGTGTGCGTAGGAATTTTTTGAAATTACCACGTTCCCCAACAACGGTGAGATCGAGGATACGAAGCAGCCGTACAGTTAGCCAAGGTTTGATGAACGGAGCTTGGGCGTTGGACATAGGCCTGGAGGTGACGAGTCAGATGCTTCAGGACTATCTAAGCTCGTGGGGACGTATGGAGCAGGTCCAGTTGCACCAGGATTCGGTTGATTCAGTAAGGTGGGCTTGGGAGCCAAGCGGCTCCTTCTCCACGAGATCGGCATATCAGGGTAAATTCTGGGCTAGGGAGAAAGTTCCAACGGCGCAGTTCACATGGAAGTACAAAGCTCCTTTGAGATGCAGATTCTTTACCTGGCTCGCAATTCAGAATAGATGTTGGACCTCAGATAGATTGGCGAGCCGTGGATTGGAGCATGAGGATGCATGCCCGTTCTGTGATCAAGTTGAGGAGAGCATGAACCACATAATGCTACAGTGTGCCTTCGCTAGGGAGGTGTGGCTGAGGGTGTGCACGGCTTGGGGTAAGCCGCAATGGGCTCCGACAACATCATCTAGTCTTGGCGAGTGGTGTGTCACCACCGCGGACAACACCACAGAGAAAAAGGATGCATGGACATTGATCGTCCTCGTTCTTTGGGAGCTTTGGAAACATTGGAATGGCATAGTGTTTGATGGGGATACCCCGTCGACCGCGTTTGTAATTCATAGGGTGGCGATAGAGCGCACGGTGTGGAAGATGGCAGGATTGCTTAAAGTAGACGTGGGCCGGTTCCTAGCGGCCGTGGAGGTGGGCCATGTAGCGAGTAGTTAGCTTGTAAGTTGTAAGCTTGGATGGAGTTGGGGTCAGTATGTAAACACCAACGTGGAGGAGTTCTTCACCCCTTTCTCCTCTTTAATATATAGTGCGCACACTCATGCGTATTCGAGAAAAAAACAAAGCGAGCAAACGGTTCAGCACAATCAGAAAGGGCAAGAACTACAAATTCCCAAACCAGAACACGAGTGTAGGATTTTTTTTTCCTAACACAGGGCGGTACCCTAAGGCCACACAAGCTGTCACTAATAAATCAAAATTGATACAACACAATACATTGAAGGACCCAAGATAAAATAAAATTACAAACACGTCCTTCCATTTTTGCATACATGAACAAACAAATAACACTTAGAACACAATCAGATCTTGAAGCAACTGGAGTAGCACTGGAGCAGGAGAGGGGTGCCTGGCGAAACGAAGTGACTCTTGACGGCAGAAGAAAGGGAGGAAGGAGAAAGTTGAAGTAAATAAACCCAGTGTGGATACATTAATACTCCCTCCGTCCAGAATTACTTGTCGCCAAAATGGATATAAATGGATGTATCTACAACTAAAATACATCTAGATACGTCCATTTCTTCGACAAGTATTTCTGAACGGAGGGAGTATTACTTATTGAAGATGACATTTCTTTGTTCCAAACACATTCAAATAGTTAGCTGGTGGAAACATCAGTAGGGCAAAATCCCTGTGGCTCTGCCGTACTCGACGAGGTCGTCGAAGATTTCACCCAGATCATCATACTTGTACACGAACCCTTCCCCGATGAGTTTCTTCGACGACACACGCACTCTTGGCTTCTCGCAGGATCCATCAAAGCTGCAGAAACATAGATGGATGGTGTTAAACCCGCAACCAAAAATAACATGTGTGTGTGTTTGGGAAAAGGTTCACGAACCGTTCAGGTTTCACGTCGTATTGTGGGTACTTCTCTGCCAGGAGACGGGCGAGCTGCAAGACAGTAGTGTTGTGATTGCAGCAGATGTACCTACCGGACGAGAACTCATTCTCAGCGACAAACACCTCGGCGCGACAGAGGTCGTCGACGTGGCTAATCCCCACGCAGTCCTTGACTGACTGCAGGACCATCAGGCCGTGCAGCTTTGCCTCGTCTCCTGCAAAATGTAGAGGACAGGTAGACACCATTCATAGGACACCGGTCAAAAGAGCATGGGGCTTAAATCAGGGTTGGCATGCTATACATCTTTCCGTTGCCAACCACTGAAAAATGTATATAAAAATGCTGGCCTTTCTCACCAGACAACAAGGAGAGGATAACGGGGACACTGGTTCTGGCGTTAGATACAGGCGCCGTGCCCACGGTGAACACCGGCAACACGGTGACAAGGCTGATGCCGTTCTCCTCTGCGAATTCACTCGCCGCCTTCTCTAGAAGCACCTTGGAGACCGCGTACGCCTACCATGCAAATCAAACAACACCAGTGTTACGTCGACATAGTAAAGGTCCAGGCGAGAGAGACTGAACACAAAGACATACTCCCTCCGTCCGGAAATAGTCGTCGGAGAAATGCATAAAAATGGATGTATCTAGAACTAAAATACGTCTAGATATATTCATTCCTCCGACAAGTATTTCGGGACGGAGGGAGTACTCCTTTGTTCACAAATATAAGATATTTCGAATATCTCATTATGGGCTACATAAAAACTGAATTGAGTGAACAACACACTGAAACATGTTTATATACATCTGCTTTACAAAAAAAATTAGAACATCTAATATTCGTGAATGGAGGGAGTATTTATATACCCAAGTTGGTGGCTTGTTGGCTCTGAGGTAATCGACGTCGGACCAGGAGCCCTCATCCAACACGTGTCCGCCACCCTGCAGAGGCCTCCTGGACACGCCGGCGTCCGACGACGTTAGGATCACCCGCTTCACCGTCCCCGCTCTCACACACGACCTCATCACGTTGAGTGTTCCTTGGACTGCGGGTTCGATCAGATCTCGCTGCCGTCAAACACGAAGCACACTGAGTTATCTCTGAAAAGGAAATGTATTTTTTTTTCGAAACGGAGGCATAAGATTTGCCTCATCTATTAAATAAGGA